TTATAAATTAAGGTCAAAACAAATCTTAACCGTTAATTTATGATCATCTCAACCGTACATCTCAAGTTGTCAACCAAGTTGTCAACAAGGTTGTTCACATAGCATTACTCTTAAATAAATATATGGGTTGACCATCCCCTTTAAATAAAGAGACCGACATTTATATATAATGTTTGCTGCCACAGAAATTAGGGTTTATACTTTGTACTCTGCTCGCCCCTAAAGCTCCCACCCACTGAAGTAAGAGGCGGTGCATTTTGATAGCAACAATGGAGAGGGGCAACAAGGCCAGGAAAGAGGAGGTCGTTACAAGGGAGTACACCATCAATCTCCATAAACGACTTCATGGATGGTATCTCTAACCTCTCTCTCTCTCTCTCACGCGTGTGGCTTTTTGATTATGCTTTAGATCTTTGGTTTATTTCTTGAGTTTAAATTTGTTGTATGATGATACCTTTGTTTAAGCATCCTTCTTTTAAATCCCAAGTCTTTGTTTCATTTATCAGATTTGTTGAATGCTTGCAAAGATTTTGTTTGGTATCCTCAAATTATCTCTTTTTGTTCTTCTGCAAGTGCGATTTTGTAGCTGTCATTATCTAATTAACATGAAGCCTGAACCAATGTATTATATTATATATTGCCTCTGAGATTTAGGATTTGGCTCGCATTGTTTAATTATGTTGATCTCCTTTTATTTGTTCGTATTTCTTGCTCTATGTATCCTTCTTATTTTGTGATATGTTTGTTTGTTTATTCTCGAAAATAAACCATCAACACACAAGCTGTCCTTTTTGTCATAATTTTATTTAAAATACTACTTTGATTTGGGCAGCAAACAAGAAATATTTGCCTATTATACCTTCATGTACACCGACGGTAACTGAATTTACGTATTGATTTATGATACCGTCTTACCCACATTAATGAGATCCTAGTTTTACTTGCCTGTGATTCCATCTGTAACCCCGTCTTTCCTCCAATTTTCATCAATTAATCATTTTCTTGGGCCAAATATATGTAATGTTGTAGTGTTGTTTAGATTGAAGGATAACTCATTTTTCTGATCAATGGTATCAATATTTGAGTGTAGCACCTTTAAGAAGAAGGCTCCGAAGGCCATTAAGGAAATCCGGAAGTTTGCCCAGAAGGCCATGGGGACTACTGATGTTAGGGTTGACGTCAAGCTGAACAAACACATTTGGAGCCGTGGGATTCGCAGTGTGCCAAGAAGAATCCGTGTCCGCATTGCCCGGAAGAGGAATGATGATGAGGATGCAAAGGAGGAGCTTTACTCTTTGGTGACTGTTGCTGAAATTCCGGATGGAGGGCTCAAGGGCTTGGGCACCAAAGTTGTCGATGAGGAAGACTGATTGATCTGTTTTCCTTGTTCTGTTTTATGCTATTTCTGAACTCAGTTTTGCTGTGCCTCAGGATTTACATTTATATATTTGTCGTTTTTAAAAGATTCGTCTTGATGCTTCTTGTTTTGCTTCTAGCTATTCAACCTTGGGTGTTGATGACATAATCTCTCTTTCTAGTTGTAGTCATTCACATGTAACACTTGAGACTCCAAAAACAAGTTTCTCACGAACCATAGTGATGTCTAATGCTCAAATGCTTCTAGTCTTTTTATATCCTCATACAAGGTTTCTCACAATCAATGATTTTGTGTTATAATTTTTTCCTTCTCACACAAGTGATCTAATGTTGTAGTCTTTTCATCCTCGTACAAGTGAACTCAAATGCAGTGAAGATGTGTTGCAGTCTTTTCATCCTCATACAAGTGATCACAAATGTAGTTATGTGTTGCAGTCATTTTACCTTCATACAATTTATGATGACATGTGCTGATGAGTATCATTAATGCTCAAATGTTTTGGTCTTTTCATCCTCCAATACAAGTGATCATAAATTTTGTACTGTTTTCATCCTCCTCTACAAGAGATCGCAATTTTCGTGATGATGTATGCATGATTAATATATACATTGTAGAGAAAATTATAGCTAGCTAATAGATAGAAATTCTATTTCCAATTCTAACCTATTTAATTATTTATTTGAATTTGTATTTATAACTTTTTATCAAGTGGATCATATTGTGGCTTTGCCTACATTGTGCATTACATATAACTAGTACAAGTACGCGAGTTTATAATATAATTAAATAATATTAAATTATTTAGCATTTATTTGTTTATTTTATCTTCAATTGTTAATGTGATTTTATAAATATATCATCACACACGCTCATGAAAATATAAATTAAGGCAAAAAATAATGTATGGTAAGTTGGTAACCCGAGTTCGCTTCATTTTTGCTCTGGTATCCGAAATTTTCAATTAACTGATTTTGATACCTAAAGTTACGGCCGTTAATCAATTTTGTTCATTTTCATGAAAAATCGATAAAATATTAACGATTTCTGCCAACACGTTGTTTGCTGCCGAGATCCATGTGCGACACTATGGATTCATGACTTTCAATTTCTACAAAAGTTTGAACAATAAACTCTTTTGAACTAGGACGTCACCCGTATGCTCAGTGGTGGACTATATTCGGGCAACGATGGATAAATGCTTTGTTGATTGGCGTGCAACTGGCGGAGGTCACAGTCTTTCGCTAACGAGTTGACTCAATTGCGGTTGGATCATTTTTCCGAGAAAGGTCGTACTTTATCCATTACCACACTTGGCATGCAACGTTATAAGGTTATGGAAGAAACACGATCCTACAAGATAGATTTAGAGGCAAGAACATGTAGTTGTCATGTGTTTCAAACATATCTACTACCTTGCATGAATACATCTACGACCATTCGTAATGTCTACCAAACTGCATATTATTTATTTCTTTAGGACACGGTCTTCTTTTATTATATTCTAATATGATTCGCAAATTTATGATATGTAACAAGAAATTTGGGTTGATATAATGTATTTCATCAACGACCGTTACAAAACTTTCGTTGTTGCAAGCATGTAACAAAGCACTATTGACATCGTCTCATATTCAGATGAATGACTGTTGCCCCCGGACATTATGCAAATAAAGGTAACTCCGCCAAACAATCCAAAACAAGCAAGTCAGCCATATATTTGAAAGAGATATATCATCACGTCAAGTACGGCATTAACAAAGATGCTCCCGGTCCCTGTGCGGGTGTCACCAGCCATAATATGGCGAAGTGTCCTCAATACAATGGTGCTGAAGATTTCTTTTCAAATGAAGGTGAAAGCGCACTAGCTCCACAAACAACATCAAGTGACCCGAGGAGGTATCATACAAGTATAAGGGTCACAATTCATTATCTTATCCATCATGTCCATTATATGGCATTTACAATGTAGTTATCCTTTTAATAAGGAAACACGGTATATCTGAGAGACTCAAAGATTATATAGCTTTGGGGTAAATTCAACGGAGGCAATTCTTTCTTACTGTTAATTGTTAGAATTTATAAGTCATGATTAAGTGAAAATAAATACGTATTATTGAGTTTATAATTTTTTAAATACTAATAATAATTAGTATATTATTTGTAAAAATTGGATCTCTATAAGAAGATAGTATAATATGATATGATGCAAGTTAAGAATAAACATTATTTTGAAAAAAAAATAAAAAAAATGATTGATATTATTTTCATTTTAGATTACATATCTATGATAAATATCTTTTTGTTTAATCATGTGATTGATCATCTGTAACACATAAAAATTATTTAAAGTTACATATGTTCATATAACTTGTTTATATAATAAAAAAGAATACTTTTTAGTGACAGTTCATTTTAATGGTAAGTCCTTTTAAAATATAAGACCTCTGTTGTAAAATTCAAAGGCCTAAAAAAACCGTACTAATGTTTGTTTCAATTTATAATTGTGTTTAAAAATTCCTAAGAAGTAATTACAAAAATCACAATAAATAATCTCTAACTATATCTATATCTATATTTATATCTATATAATAGACTAATCATTATTGCCATAATTGGCGTGATTTTGGGCGAAAAAGTTTTTCGTCTATATTTGGCATTTAATTAATAGTTATTTATTAGCAAATTTTATGCATGAAAAACATAATTAATTTATATACACTCAATGAAATTACTCATTAACTACAAATTGGTTTAAATTGAAGTTTTGATAGTAAATTTATTAGATATATTTTCAATAAGATCTTATTTTAATTTAATAGTAATCTATTGAAACAATTCAAAATTTTACTTTGGAAATTAATTTGATTAAATATATTATTATCTATAGTTGTTGGTATTAATTTAATTAATTTTATCACTATTCATAGTACTTAAAATGTTTATTAAAAATAACTAGAATAACTATGTTTAAATCATACTAACAATAACTATGTTTAAATCATACTAACTTAATAAATATTTTAAAATATTAATAAAAGTCTCTGAAATGTAGTCAATTTAACTATAAAAAGGTACATTCCCATTGAATATATCATGTATAGTGATAATATTATTGAAAATTTAAATAATATGCTAATAAAACTAAATTTGATGGTCAGGTGGAATTCAGAATTATAAATTTCACCTCAGAAGTATCTATGTACATTTTCAATTTATAGAAACATATTTTTTTCTTATATACTATTTTATAAAATGAAAAATAAGTTAGTCTATATCTATACCTATATCTATAATGGATCAATCCTTATTGCCATAATTTTCATGACTTTGGGCGGGAATTTTTTTGTCTATATTTGACATTTAATTAATATTTATTTATTAACAAATCTTATGCATAAATGCATAATTAATTTTTTGAGTAATGCTATAGGTACATAGTAGTGCACATAGAGGTGTTATGTACACCTCTATGTACATTTATTATGTACTTGTCGCATTTTTCTAATTTTTATACACTCAATGACTATTACTCATTAACTACAAATTGACTTAAATTGAAATTTTGATAGTAGATTTATCGGATATATTTTCAATAAGATCTTATATTAAAATATATTATATTAATTTAATAGTTATCTATTGACACAATTCAAAAAATTATTATGGAAATTGATTTTGATTAAATATATTATCATCTATGGTTGTAGGTATTAACTTGATTAATTATATCATTATGCAGAGTACGTAAAATATTTAATAAAATAATTAGAATAACTATGTTTAAATCATTTTACCTTAATAAATAATTTAAAATATTAATAAAAGTTTCTGAAATGTAGTCAATTTAACTATAAAAAGGTACATCCCCATTGAATATATCATATGCACTGATACTATTGAAAATCTAAATAATATACTTATAAAAATAAAACTCGATGGTCGGGTGCAATTAAAAATTTTAAATTTCACCCTAGAAGTATCTATGTACATTAAAAAACTATTCAATTGTTAAAAATATATTTTTTTCTTATATACTATTTTATAAATGAAAAATAAGTTAATAAAATACCAATGTATAATAATTTGAATTATATCACTTGGTAATTATCAAAATATAATATATATTAAAATATTCGAAAAAGATACTATGAAACTCATTATATAGGTTAAAAAGAAATAAATATAAATAAAAAAAAAAGAAAAAAATAAAGTATTAAACCATTAAAATATTGTGTGTTGCATAAGTATTAAAGTTATTGAAATTTAAAATTTTTATCTACCAAAGTTTTTAACATTTAAAGCACTGAATAATATAGTGGAATATAATTACTATAAGTTAAACGTTGGTCAACTATCACACAATGTTCAAATTATGAATTGGTGAAAAAACTGTAAGACTATGATAAAGGACAAATTTATAAGTAAATACAAGTAATTTGTATGCAAATATCATATAATCTTATACATTTATAATATTTTATAAACTTATAATTAATAAAATTTAATAGTAAATAAATAAAATTTCATATTATTACTGAATATATTATTATAGAGAATATAATTTTAATTGTCTTTAATAATTTTATAATATTTAAATAAAAAATAATTTTGTAATGTACCCCGTGCATCGCAAGGATATCGATACTAGTAACTAAATAAGCAAATCTATAATTATATTAAAGGGGATCCTATTTACTAAATATAGTAGTTAGAAAAAATCAAACTTAATTAATGAATTTTTAATTTTGTCAAATATTTAATTAATGCATCTAATATTTTGTGTATGTGAACCAAATTAGAATTTAATTATTCCTAAAATATTGGGTATGTAATATTAATTTAGAAATATCCATGTAGTTCCTAATATATTGGTATGCAACACGTAAAAGAAGATTTTTTAATTTTTTTTAAATATAAAATATTACAACACGTAAAACTATTCCAGTTATTTTCTATTTTATTTTTCTTATAAAATCTAATCAATATTTAATG